TCGACTAATGATTGGATTTTGCAAAGTTTACTCGTTTCAATTAAAATTCCTTTGCTAATAAAATATAAATGATTCTAAATAATGTGATATGCAATGTGAAGACATCTGTAATGATCGCTGGAATACTCGTATCTCACTTACTTTATAGCTACGTTGTGATCGCAAAATGTGAGAGATACGCAAACTGGAAACTATGCGGTGCGAATCAGGTTGTGTTTAATGTGGTTTATCTAACTACTTTTAACATTTTTATTTCTTTATTATTATTTTAATTTTTCTCCATTTAAAAAAAATTTCATTTGGTTTTTCTATTACGTATTTGTTAATTTAATATTGAAATACTTGTTCTACTGCCATAATTAAATTAAGCGCAAAACTCTGCCAGTTACATAGTATTTTCTTAGTAATACATGTACTTCCGTCATATATCTTAGGATTGTCTACTCTGCTTATGTAGTTGCTATATAATACGAGTAAGCATGGCAACAACTTTGCGAATAAATTTGCATAAAAAAATTAGTTCAAAAACAATAATAATATATCAATAACAATATTTAGTTCAATAAACTGTAAATGTAAATTCAATACTTGGAAATTCTGTAAGCAGTCTATTTACATTTTCAATCTGACTCAGTCGATAATTCTATATTATTTGTTATTGGGTTTTAAGAAAAATTATTTCATTTTTTTTCAGTAAAAATGAATGACGATTTTCTTATATCAAATAAATATTTTAATGAATTATAATTTTTTTATTTTGGTCTAATACCATTTGTCACCTTCTTGGCAGTACCATATTTCCACGTTCATTAAACTTCAAGTCCAAACTTCAGGCTAGTATCAAGAAATTTACTTTGAGGGGGCTTACAGATTAAAAACCGTAAAATATCTATTATAATATCTAGATTATTTTTCTATAAATCTTTAACCAGTTCATCTGAATCAACTCTGGTTGCTGGTTAAATCAACAATTGAATCGGAATTCTGGCAAACGCTCTCAGTCTATCATTACCATTAATATTTCCAGACGGAATTCTTAACATCTTTTATGATCAAAACTTGCTGTTGTCACTGGTACAGTACTTCAACTCGTAAGTAGATACATCAGTACCAGAAACAAGTTTCATTAATTTAAAAACCAGCAGAAACATCTACAGAAGAAGGACGCAGTAAGTCGAAAGTTAATGATGGATTGTTATGGCCAAATAAGTAAGTCAAGTAAGTTATATATATATAATAAGTATATATATAATAATAAGTAAGTATAATAAGTAAGTTAATATATGCATCAATAGTTGATATGCTTCCACTACAAAGTATATACTCAGTTTTCACTGCAATAGACAATATTTTACCGACAATATTTTATTCAGAAGGCGCTTCAGGCCCTCCCCTGTTCCTTATTGGAACAGCAACCGTTAATGGTTGATGGTTTAAGATGTGATTGTTAATGGTTTAAGATGTGATTATTATTATCATTTTAATTAAATTTTTTTTAATATTTATCAGTTGCGAGAGCTACAAGACAATGATCTATGAATATATACAACATTGACACCTCAACATATATATCAATGTGCGATCTATTTAGAAGCACAGATTACATCTCTAGGATCCAATGGCTTAGATTATATAGGAAACCAATTAGAGACCTAATAAAACTTGCAACTCGTCTATTTGCTGAAATGTCAATGGCCTACTATGACAATACAGAGACACTTCAGTGGTCGATTACTCCGAAATTGGTTTGTGCAGGAGTTACCGAGATGATAAAAAGATGGAATATATCAATTACTTTTTATATCTTTTTATAAGACTAAAGATGAAGTAATTTAATTGTTTTTAAAAAAGTTTTCCTCACTGATTCGCATAGATAGCAAAGCCAGATTTATTGAAGTCTATATTGAATACTAAATGATTTAACTCAGATGGCACATAGTGTTAAAATAGAAACAACGTATACCGTATTGTCAATTCTCCCACAATTTCAATGTCTCCGAGTAGAATTGTTAAGATAGTTTTCAATAATCGCTTACTCAATCTTATCTAAATCTTGTCATTGTTGCAGATAACCTCATTTATGTTAATCTTATTATGCAATATAAACTTTTATGTTTCTTTTTTGTATATATATATTATTTTATAAACTGCTAGTTTTTTCTTGACGTGTTCACTCTACTGTAGACATAGTGTACCTATATCTTCTTCCTTCCCTTTTTTCACTAGAACGTCATCATCTTTATACAAATCAATACTAAGCCAACAATACTAATATATCTTATGGTTCATTCGACTGCTGTAGTTGTCATTAACTCATAAAGAACCAAGGATCTTAAATAGAACTTCTCTTCTCTCTGAAACTTCCAGTGCTGTTCTGTTATTCTGCGATATCCTAAACTGTTTCATTAAATAAATTATCTTTGTCAATTTGTCTACTTAATTGTTATAAACAAATACTATGGAATAATACTGAATTAGAAAATAGTTTATTTTTAAATACTTGGTTATTATAAAAAAAAACTTAAATTCTACTTATGAATATCTTTTAAGTGTTAATTAGACTCTAAAATAAGTACTACTTCAGTTCTTTTGCTTAATAACTGATAAGCGATATTGCTTTCGATACAAATAAATATAAATAGTACTACTATGAATATCGTATAATTTTACCTACGAAGCTATGGGACAATGGGGCTATGGGGCTATGTATGGGAAAGCAATGCAATCATATTCTGATCTTTAAAAAAAAAATGAAATTTTAAAAAATTTACAAACTCGAGCGTGCGACAATACAAAAATAACAACAGCGAACATAAGATGTTATTTGAAGAGAAAAAAAAAATATATATATAAAAATGAAAAAAAAAAAACCTTATCAGTATCTTAAAGCAATAAAAAAAATATATGAATAACAATGAAAATTCAACTTAACTAGCCCAGCATTTGCAGTTTCGAAAGCATTTTTACTTCTACCGATCGACGTTCAGGTTCAAATAAACTCCGCGCATCGTAGCGACAAGACGTTCTTCGGCGATAAACGATACCAGGCGGTCTCTGCGTCTTTGGTTTAGAACGTGCGCGTGTGTGTGTGCGTTTGTATCTCAAAATTGTGTATTTGCGTTGAATACGTCATACTGGAAACGTACTTATTAAATTGCATCTAGAAATTTTATATTTCAATTGAATTGAAAAAAAAATAAAAATTTAATATAAAATTATAATAATTATTTAAAAACAAAAGCAATATAATTTTAAATAATAAAATACGTTATAAGAAAAATTATTTATATTTATTAAAAAAAAAATAATATCTTCAAGATACAACATTAAATAATTAAAAAAAATAAATAAATAAAATTTTTGTTTAATATAAAATAAAAAAAAATTTTTATCGTAAAAAGTACTAAAATAATTTATGAAAATGTTACAAAATTATATGCAATTAATTACAAAATTAATTTTACTTAATTTATTTTTAATAAATGCACAAAATACTACACAGTAAGTAAAATTTTTGTTTTTCACTTGTCATAAGTAAACTTCATCTATGTTTTGTTTTGTTATTTTGTGGTTTAAAAAATATTCTACAATAATCTTGTTTTTATCAGATGATTCGTATTAAGAAATTTATCAAAAAAAAAAAGTAAAAAAATTATATAAACATTTTACTCTTCCGCCAATTTGTGTCTTGTGTCAACGATCTGTTACCAACCATGGAGTTTATTATCTAAAAAAAAAAAGTAATGAATACCAAAGATATTACAAAATTTGAACATTGTCGATTTCGTTTAATAAAATTTCAATTAAATTTTTTATTTATCTTAAAAAGATACATGTTAACCTGTTAGTTACAATAAAAAGCAAAAGAAAAAAACATTCATCTAACATTTATCGCTTCAAATTGCAGCCACACACAATTAATGTTACTCATACGCCACCAGTGCCACCAGTGCCGACTACACCGACAACGCCAATGCAATGCAATTAATTAGTGTTTAATTAAAGTTGAAGTAGTTTTATTTGAAATTGATCATTTAATGAGTCTAAGTATAATGTTTCACATTTAACTAATTTGTTTTTATTATTTGAATATTTAACTTTGGAATGTTTTGTTCATATATATAGACTAATGTGTAGATTTTGTGGTATGTTCGTATCTATAATTTACATTGTGCTTAAGCCATATTAATAAAACACATTCTTTTTGGCTTTAATATTCATAATTTTATTGATCTAGTGATTATTAAGTCTTCATTCTAGAAACGCTATATAAGACTCCGTACAAGACAAGACTCCGCTCTCAACCGCTCGACTGTTTTCTTAAACTTATACTAAGTCTTATAATATTGTGTTGAAGCTATTTGTGCCAGTAAATTTGAGCACTGTTACTCTTTCTTAACTCGAGGTATTTTCAAAACCCCTTTTTACGCCTTGACTGGATTATTGTTTATCACTTCATCAGACTAAGCAATAATTCACCGCAGATCTGCATACCTCCCCGAGGAGCCTGTAACCATTCTGAGTCAGTTTTACAATAGTTTGGTTTTATATTTGAAACAATATATTTCTCCTATTCTAATATTAGTTCTAATATCTTCTTAAATCTAATTGGTTACTTCATACTTCATATTATTATTTTCATGCTTCATTAGAAGCTTAAAGAGTCTACAAAAGTTTTCCAAAAGTTTTTCAATTCGTTAAACGATTTGCACGTCTCCTGCTGAACTGTCCTTCTTCAGGTCATTCTCCAGATCATTTCTGGTCTGACTCGTATTCTGACTAATGCCATAAATTATTAAAATGCAATGGTTTGCTCATTTTAAATAGGAACATTAGTGCTTTAAAGAATATGAATGCAACAGTCAACATAGACATAGACGGTCTTAACATTGAGTAATACCAACTATTGATATCCCATTACAATATAAATATAAATAAATATATAAAAAAAATATTATTTTAACATTAGTGATATATCCAGTAGAGAGAAGAGGGGATCAATTCCAACGCATTGACGATATAATTTAAAGATAATACACTGCAAAAACAATTTTCTCAAATTATTTTTTAATATAACTTTCACCATTGACACAATTCTGACTAAACCACTGTACAATAGACAACAAGTAAACGAAAAGGAATGAGAATTTCGGTATATTTTATAAGATATTACACTGCACAATCCATTGGCACAATCCGGATAATGCCACTATATAATATATAAGAAACAATCAAAAATTAACGACACTTTTGAATCATTTTAAACCTCTATGTAACCTTGCATCTTTAAACCATCTTCTTAGATATTATTTGTTAATGGCACCGTAGTTCGCAGATTGAGAAACACCGTTGGGGCACCTATTTAGATATTGTCTTGAACTATTTCTATGATATCACCTCTATCCCATATATTGTTGCAAACGTTATACCTTAAATACCTTTTCCCTTTGAGTTTAAGAAATAGCATAAAATTTTGTTAATACCCGAAGATATATGAGTTCAGATTGATTTCAAGACAGCTCAGTACAGTAACAGTTCACTATTGATTAATATTTGCGAATTTTCTCACAGACGGATGAAGCCATGTCATACATTACCTATTAAATTTTATTCTTCAACTTATACCTATTGTATTTGTTTATGCATTTAAATTAGTAAAGAAAAAACTAATTAACTTATTATTTGTAAATTTAGATTTATTAGTCAAAGCAAATGTGTAATCCCTTATGTGTTAAGAATTCTACATAAATGCTCACTTAGTTTCATATATATTCGACCCATAAGTAATCTTATCTATTGCTCTTTGATGTGTGAAGGAAATTACAACTACATTCTATAGTTATATGACGTAATTATTTGCAGTTAAGGCTTCACACCGCGGGGACTAATTGAAACTATACGTTTAGACATAGTTTCCTCTTTAGAAAGAGTAAGGCCATTCTAACATTTCTTCTGTTTTTTTTAGATCACCACACCCGGTTGGAAATTATAACTCAAGATTGAATGATAATAATGTATATTATCACTCTACCCTCATATCTTTGGATTTTAAATACATCCACCACGATGCTGCCATATAAGGGGTCTCACAATTTCAATTGAACAGCGACTACGATACTCCCATATAATAAGTCAGCCTCAATTGATCAGGATAACCTTATACCTTCAATCAGGTGACGCAAGTAAAATTCACTTACTACCATTTCTACTCCAAATAGTATCAAGTGGTGCCACAAGACTCTGTTTCCCTCTTACAGTCATCTCTTCCCCTAGAATATTCTAACTTGAGAATATAATATTTTTCGCGACGTGAAGCTACTTTTAGAGTACCATCTATTACTTAAATGGCTATCTCATCTGTAAATATTTTAGTAATAAGTTGTTACATCGTACTGGCTGGTACATCGTATGTGTATAGCAGATATAGAATGGGGCCCATACAATTATTGTGAGGTATTTCAGTTAAGCTATCGTAAGGTTTTGATTATTCACATTCTTTATTTGACAAAACGTTAGCGGTTTTTAAGATAGATCATTAGGTGATTTAGATAAATAATTCAGGTAAATAGTTTAGGTAAATAATTTTGATAGATAATTTGATAACTTAATTCGTAAAAAATATAGTTTCATCATAATAATAATAATTCGTCATATTAAACCCAATTAAAAGCTGGCAACATATTAAGGATAGCTAGAATTTTTTTGTTTGAATACATTGTGGAAATATGTTTTAATTAAATGATTATTTTTTAACTAATATATAGCACATTAACATTAACTATATATTTCCAGAAGATTTTATCCTTATCTGATGTTACGATGTCTTCAAGTACTGGCATTCTGACTTTCATTCAAAGTGAAGAATGTGTTGTTTTCGATTAGGTTAGGTTAGAAGCAGAAAAGGTGGGAGGGTGTTTATACTTTCCTTATCAATTATATATTATATTTATCACCGAAAACCTAGTACTAACATCCATTTTGTATGAATAATTTACATAAAGCTCTATGTTATATAGAGTTTCATATCAATTTATTGTACGAAATAGATATTAGAACTAGGCTTTATACAAAACAAAAAGTAAGTCATACCATATATAATAGAGAATACATTACGAGACGATTAAAAATTAAAATCTACTAATCAATTTATGTGCCAGTACGCGAACACCCATACATAATTTACTTTCGTTAACAGGCAACACAGATATCTAGTCATCTGACTAACTCTCTCATGCGCATTCTTCTGAGCATTCCCTATAATCTTGTCGTAACCTACAGGTAACTCAAAACCATTTAATATTTTCTCCTTGATTATCTGGCTTTGGCATCCAGAAAAAATAGATTTTTAAGAAAAGCTATTTAGAAAAAGGTAATAGGTTTTTCTAATAGCTTACTAGACCAACAAAGCTAATAAACTTATTAAATTAACTAAATTCGACGAGATGGATTTAGTCTGTATCTTTCTGTTTTAGAGTTTCTTGTGAGGTATGTGGTAGGTACGGGATGGATTCAGACTATATCCTTCTACCTTAGAGTTTCTTGTGAGATGTGTAGTAGCAAATGGCAAAGAATCGCTAATTGAGGTCAATGAAAAGTTAACTGCAGGCCTGCCAGTGCAACCAACCAACCAATCAATTCTCTGATGTGGTATGAAAAAGCAGTATCGAAACTAATTTCCACAGGTAACTGTGTTAATTGATAAAACAATTTTTACGAAAAGAAACTATTTATAAGTTAGTAGGGTTCAAACAGTAATTAAGTAACCACAACAAAAAATTTTAATTCAATTTATTGAAATTTGACCATACAATGCTGTTTTGAGTATTGCTAAGTGCTCATTATCACTGAAATATTTGATATATACTGATAGAATGATATTTTCTGATCATTTTAATAAAATTTGCAAAACTTTTATTGAAAAATAAACTCAAACAAAGCTTGGATATTACACGTGAGTAGCATTCCAAGTCCTTGACTGATTTCTATAAATAAAATTGAATACGTTTCGAATTCGAATAAATATCACATGATGCAAAGTGAAAGTAATACTACAATTATTTAACATTTCCATTTCAAATGAACAATTCTTAAGTCAATTGAGATACTCATAATGTTCTCAAAACGAAACGCGTGAGAATTCACATTATGTAAAAAATATGACTCACTCCTCTTAAGCCTAATTCTTATGCAAGCCATTGCACATAAATCTCCACGAAATATCTGAATAAATTATAGAATAGTAAACAATTCTATTTAGTATAGAAAACATATATTGCAAAATCAATTAAACGAGTATTCCATACTCGTTCCTCCCCGCAAGCATAGAAATATTGCATTTTTCGAGACAAATTAACTTTGAGAAGCATTGAGAAGTCATTGAGAAGTCAGCATATTTACGACAAATTCTTATCAATAATAATTAAAATTAATTTAATAATAGAAACAAATTGGATTTAACTGGAAAGTAAAAATTAATGAGCACTCATACGCACCGAGTTCCATAAATTAAATTGTACGGGAAAACACATATTTGTGCGCTTTGTTCTGGCCGGCTTTTAAATTTAAATGCTTATTTGCATACAATATTTGTATATACATATATATATATCTATCTCCAATAAAAACTATATGCTTATCATATTTCACAGAAATTATTTTGAGTTTTGTGGCGCCCCGCACCAGCGTCGTTTTAATTACATTTGCTGCTTAATTACACTGAAGAGAATGCGTTGCACTTTTGCGCGCAGCCTTTGCCTTTCGTTGTCGTCAATTAGTTCCGTATTTGAAAAACAGAAGAAGAAACAAATTAATAATTAAATAATAAATAAAAAAAAAATACAAAAAAAAAGTAAAAAGAATTTATCTTTAATTAAATTTTGCAGAAAATAATAAACAAAATATACACGAAGTCAGTGCAAAGAAATTAATTCATGAAAATCTACAAGCAAATATAGGCAAACACAAGGGCGGCGAAGTGTAGACATAACATTGGGGAAAATTAAAATATATTTTTTGTTGTTTATTTGCACCCAAGGAAAAAAATTAATTATCTCTGAAATATTTAAATTATTCAGAAAATTAATTATGACTGCAACAGTCAACCTCCCTTTACCCACATGACCCACATGGGTGATGATATTCAATTTCGGTACTGCAGAAACCCAAAGGTTGTTTCAGTTTGTTTTTTTTTGTTTTTTTTTACTTTTGATTAAGTAATTTTATTTACTTTTTTAATCTTATTAATTTGCAATAAATGCATATAAACAAGCGTATTTACATGAAGTTACAATTCCATACTTAAATGCAATATTAATATTATTTACTCAGTATGTCCATATGACAATATTTAACTTACGTTATTGTCAAGTATTTGCACGGAAAATTATTTTTCTTCGTTTTTTTTTTTGCGGCTATGAGGAGTTGAATGCCTGCTGACCACAATCCGGCGCCTCGGAATGTGATTGCCCGCATCACACGGACTAAACCACTCCCTCTCTTCTCCTCTCCTTCCTAGAGTTCTTGTCCTACCCCGGGACTACATGAGTATAACTTCGAGGTAGGGTCTCTATTAGTCATTTAAGACTTCCATCGGTGTGACCTGCGTCCAGGTACCGCTACTGATTTTTCTTTGTATTTAAGTTAAATATACAAGAGCCAACAATAAAATAGCCAATAAAAAGCCAATAAAATAAAATAATTGTTATTGACAAGTCCAAAAATATAAATTCAAGTCTTAGTTTAATCATAGAAGATTTTTAACTATTTCTAACACGTGCTAAAGCTTTTATTTTACTGAAAGATTTGCCCGACTCTCTGTTGATTGTGCTTCCCATGTAGTCTTTCGTCGACCGCGACTTCTTCTTTCTTGCGGATTTTATTCTAGAGCGACATATGCGATTTCGCTAAAGGGTTTGCATAGAGTATGGCCCAACCACCCATACTTTCTTCTTAAAATTTGTAGATCAATTGGCTTTTGTTCAGTTATAACCCACAGTTGCTCGTTGCTGATCATTCTGAGTCACCAAATTCTTAAAATTTGTCTCAAGCATCTATTGATATCTTGTTATATTAAGTACTAGGAAAAATACCATACCATAGATTAAATAAGAGTAAATAATGTTGGCGATCCTGCCTCCCATTTTACTCCTTGTGCTAATATATAAAGACTCGTATTTAAAATCTAACCCAAATTGCTCTTTAAAGGAAGGTCTTGACGATGTCGAAGATTCTCCACACGTTGCATATATCTTCCTCTGCACAGTAATACAACATGCTATGATATGAGTCGCTTTCTTCGTCCTCCTCAGTGACACTAAACACTAAAGTATCATTATTTTTCCAATGTTAATGTTAAATCTCAAGCCAAGTACTTAGGCTCATTGGTACAATCAGTTGCCACAAACTCAAAGGTTTCAAAACCGCTTTGAACTTTTCGTAAAGCTTAAAATTCTTTTTAGTGGAAGGTCCTTGAGTTGGCAAAGTTCCTCAAAAATAAAGCACCACAAATAGTGAAACGGTACTGAGCAATAACAAAGCATATATAGGACACTTTCATTGTCTTCTCTCCAACTGCAATAGGAATTATTAAACGGGGGATTGAAACTTAGAACATAGTTTTCTCATCGACTTTGACTCATGAGCAACTCTACCAAACGATTGATATCTTTAAGGAACAACTCCATGAGAGTACTTAACTTTTTGTAGATTTATTCAATCCTTCCGAAGAAACTCAATTTCCTATATCACTATCAATGTTAGGGCCGTTAGTAAAAATAGTTAGATCCTATTCTAATTAGGGGCCTCTCGACAGCCTTGCTCTACATCTTTTGAACCATTTCTTCCATGACTATTGAATTTATAGTTTAAACAGGAAAATAATGCAACGCTAAAATAATTTTTTATTTTATACCTTCAATGTTAGAAAGCCAAGCGTAAAGTTTGAGGATGAAGATTGCCCAAGTTTAACAAATGCAACGAATCTACAGCAAACCCAACTTATAGATAGACTAACGCATGTTTGCCGCTATGATAGACTTGAAAGACCAATACGTAAGTTTCTTGGAAGGTACAATATATGACAAATTTACTAAAATTAATTAACTTTCTTTCCTATCTTTCCTATAGCTTATGGAGTCAATGCGGAGCGTTTGCCAACCAATGTTAAAGCGCGCATCTATATTTACTATTTACAGAATCTCAACTCGGATTTGTTACAATTTAAGATGCACGCACTGTTGCAGTTAAGTTTTGTAGATAGTCGCCTTGCCTATAATATGGTAGCGCCGTCACGCAAGGAGCACATACTCGGTCAGAAACATCTTAGTGAACGTTTATGGATGCCACATATATTTTTCGCTAACGAACGCGAATCAGGTATACTGGGCACAGATGAAAAAGATGTCCTCACATCCATATCACCCGAAGGTCGTGTCATTATATCAACACGTCTGCAAGCAACACTTTATTGTTGGATGAATTTCAAGAAGTTTCCTTTCGATGAACAATTTTGTTCGACTGTTTTGGAAAGTTGTAAGTTGAGAACAGAAATATAGATCTTTAGGAATATTATTTTTATCTTGAAAAAAAATTTTAATTAAATTATTTTTAGGGATGTACAATACAACAGAATTGGTATTGAGCTGGGAAGCAAGTTCGCCGATTTCATTTGATCCAGAATTGAGATTAACTGGTAAGTTTATAAAGAGATTAAAATATTTACATATATATAGATATATATGTGAATTCACACACATACGTATGGAAAATATATTGTGTATTATTATTATACATTAAGACTGAAAAGTTTTCGGAAATTCTCATTTAAAATTCGCGCGCTGTATATTTTTCGATATTTTAAGTTTATGTAGTTTGGCAGCACTGTCCTTAATTACTATGCCAAAAATGAGCGCGATCTGTCAGACAGTTCGTTTACGGCAGCTGTTGAAACCAGTTCACCTCAGTAGTGCGTTGCGAAATGTCTTCGACGGTCTTACGACCGTCCTGAAAGGCTTTGTACCACTCATAAACTTGAGTTTTCGATAAAACTGATTCCCCATAAGCCTTTTGTAGCATTCGCAACGATTCTGCACACGAAATTCGTTCGAAACACAAAATTTGATGCAAACTCTTTGTTCAATATTTTTTTCCATTGTTTTTTTCGCAACGCACTACTGAGGTGAACTGGTTTCAACAGCTGCCGAAAACGAACTGTCTGACAGATCGCGCTCATTTTTGGCATAGTAATTAAGGACAGTGCTGCCAAACTACATAAACTTAAAATATCGAAAAATATACAGCGCGCGAATTTTAAATGAGAATTTCCGAAAACTTTTCGGTCTTAATGTATATTAGATGTATTAGATGTATTAGATATCGATAGGTTTGATATCTTAGCGTAAAAGTTTAATTTCAAAAAATAAAATTATTATAATAATAATAGCTTACAGTAATAGATACAGTGTAGAATATCTATTAAAAGTGATTAAAAATTTTAACCAACTTTAATAATAGGCTTATCTCATTGTAAATATAATAACCTGGGTATTAGGAAAGGAAATTTAAGTCTTCAATTGATTTTTCATAAAAATTGAATGTTATACAATCATATGTTATATATTACAATATGTGTTTGGAATTCTCTCTGCCTCTAGCAGTATGTACCAAGTCTCCAAACATTTTTAACTCAGGCCGACGTCGGATGTTTCTCAACGAAAACTTTATTAAAATAATAGCCACAATGGAAGTTCTCATAAATTCTATAGTTTATGACTAATTTATATACTATATCAGAAAGTCTACAAAAACCAGCACTTTTATGATAGTTTGAAGCACTATTTTTCTTATGAATATAATTTTGTATACTGCAATGAAGTGTTGGGGAAAGCAAACTTAACTGAAATTATTTAAGGACAATGTTTGGAGATAAAAATGTTAGTAATGTTAGTAAATAAAAACTATCAATATAATGAAATCAAAAAAATTTCTTACCTGATAATGAGATATATTATATAAACCAAAACAATAAAATTTCTGGTTCGGTGTTCATTAAAACACGTTTATTAACGAAAATTTGAAAATTACTTGCAATAGTTTCTTACAGTAAATACTAAGAAATTATAGACACAATTCTTAAAGAACTTCTTCTTTAAGATCCCACTTTTAATTAGATCCAAATTTGCAAACTCCTATGTATGCATAAAAGATATTCACACTATTTTGTAGATGTCTCAGAATCATATTAAGCCTCCAGGACTTTAATTCTCCAATAGATCATCTTATTTTCTAAACGATATTATGAGGATTTTAAGAAAATTATAAGTTTTATACGAATTCGAATAGCAAAGCAAAGACAAGGACAAAAATTTTATTTAATTTATTGCAATTTGGCTGAATCCGTCTAACTTTTAAATGATTTCTTTTTGTCATAAAGACGTGTCACTCTCGGTAAGGATGAATGAACATTATAATAAGTTTTAATTTGAAAAATCATAAAAAAGACGAAGAAGATTAATCCGATATTAATGCTGAGGGATTAATGTTGATAAAATATTCTATTTCTTCACTTCAGTTGTTTCCAGACATCGGTAAACAGTAATGAATCTTTCTGAAAACACATTAAATTTGAATAACATGTGAAGGCATATTTAATGGATAGAAACTTGATATACATATGTTTTAGGTTAGATTATACCGGCGATCGTTGGGAGATCCACTTAGGCCTATAGGTCCATTATGCTACCGTATTATTAAAAACCCAAGGGCTAAAACTATTTAGAACCTTTGGGAAAGCTTATGATGCTATTTAAAGTGAGGTTTTGAAGTTTGCCTCGAAAGACCTACGTCTTATAACTGAAGTTTTTCTCCAGATAAAGTTTGCTTTAACTCCCTGAACTCAAATGGCATTTAATATAACATTTAGAGTCCCTTACTTCTTCAAAGCAATTTTTGCATATCTTAAACTTAGAAATCCCTTTAGTATTTTTACTTTGTATCTATATTAATGTTTATATTAGTATTTATAATATCTATTTACATATTTATTTATTTTTCTATATTTTTCAGAATATAATATGCAACGGTTTTGGTATAATGAGAGCATTGTCCATTCGGATATAGTCAATATGCGGCATGGTGCTTTCTGTAAGTATATATATATATATATATTAACATATTATTTTAAATAGTTTTAATAATCAAAAATATCAAATCACTGGTATATATTCTTCAAATTAGCCATTTTTTAATAATTCTGATTTCTAATGTTCTGTATATCATGCATACATCCATTTCTTAGTTCAAGAACTCAAGAGTGTATGCATACTTCACATTTCTCAATGGGCAGATATATATCTGAAATACCAGCAAAAGTATTTAAAGTCAGGATACCGATCTTTCCTCTAACTTACCTAGCAACGCTGTTGATAATATACAAAGAAAAAGAGAAAAGAGAGAGAAAACAAAATAAATAAAAATCAGATAGAAAAAATACAGATCGTAATAGGGATCGAGATAGAGAAGAAGATGGAGATAAAGATAGAAATAGAGAAAGAAATAGAGAGATTAGGATAGATGTCGAGGTAGAATAGAGGTATAGATAAAAATGAAAATGGAGATAAAGAGAAAGAGAAAGCTGATTTCCTATATGAGAATAATAAATTTTGGTCTTATCTTCTCTGGCTGCGTTACTGATAAGATAATAGAGAAATAAAGAAAGAGAGGGAGAGGCAGAGAGAGTGAGAGTGAGAGAGAAAACCTTACTTCAATATTAAAATAGCGATCTATCCCTTAAACAGCATTTTATTTTCTTTCAAATGCATACATACAAAGATTTTAAACTATCCCTATTTTGAGGTTGGCTATTTACTCTCTTATCTCTCTATTTCTTTTTTTTTTGTATTTTTTTGGAATACTTATATTCTGCTCAATAATAAACTTAAGTTTGATTATATATAATAATTATATTGATTATTGTCACTTATATTCAATATTGTTTTATATAATCAGATAACTAACAATCAGTATCTTGACTTAACCTTCTTTATACTCGTATTTCTCTCTATTAAAAATGATTTTAAAGTTTCATAAAATTTATTATTTTTGTTGTTATATTTCATATTTATATATTTATTTATATTCTTATATTTATTTATATTTATATATTTTTCAGTTGGCAATTACAGTTCAATAAGCTTTACAGTCAATTTGAATCGAGAAATTGGTTTCTATCTAATGGATTACTTCTTGCCCTCTATGATGATTGTTGCCATATCGTGGGTATCCTTTTGGCTTCAAGCTGATGCATCACCACCACGAATTATGTTGGGTAAGTTTAATTAAACACCATTCAAAATGTAAATGAATCGTTAAATTCATTCACCAAATAATTTTGACTATTAGCTTACCATTAGCCTTTAAAAACACTAACAATATATAGGTAAAAAAAAATTTATTCATATTTTTTTTTATATCTTTCAGGCACCAGCACTATGTTATCATTCATCACACTTTCTTCATCTCAAAGTAAAACTCTACCCAAAGTCAGTTATATAAAAGTATCTGAAGTTTGGTTTCTGGGTTGTACATTCTTCATCTTTGGAAGTTTAGTAGAATTTGCGTTCGTAAATACAATTTGGCGACGAAAAGAGAATATTGAACTCAAAAAAGTCAATAGCAAATATATAATTAAATCTACACTAACACCTCGTCCTGCACGTCGTGAATTAGGTCTTAACAATCAGTCACGTAGTCAATCCCGATCCTGTTCTAGCTTGGATAATATTGTTTCAAGCACAGAAAGTGTTAATGGCAAGACTGGTAACTCCAATCCAGGATTTAACAATTATTTAACAGTTCATGTGAGTATTTTTGATTATTAATTATTTATTAATCATTAATTAATAATCTTTTATAATCAATTTAATGAATTAAAATTTACATCATACAATATTATTTGATTTTTCATTTAATTAAGGACTATGTCCCCCTCCGCTTAAATTTTCAATCTCTCATATCGTATTCCGTCGCGTCTAGTAATAATTTACTCAGTAAAAGCCAATTATTTCTATGTAAAGTCTCCAGCTTTTACTGATGTCTCCCCATGGACACTCTTTGGGGATGACAAATTATTTTTAAGTAAAGTCTCCAGCTTTTACTGATGTCTCCTCATGGACATGACAAATTTCCTGAAACAAAATTTTCTTTGAAGATTATTTGGCAACTTAACTCGTTTTGACCGAATACTGACCGAAGACTCTCAAGAAGTTTCATGAATTTTTCTGAATTTAAAAAATAAAATATAAAAGTATTGCATACTTTTAGGCCAAAAAGTTAATTTTTTCACCTGAATATTTTTCCGCTTCCATATAAATAATTGCTGTGAATTATTACTAGAGAAGGAGGAGAAATCATTTTTCTGAGATAGACATAAAAATAATGTGAATCTTTTTTTCTTATAAATTTTAATACAATTATTTGAAAAATATAAATATTTTTCTCTAAATATATATCCGTTTATTGCTTTCAGAATTTACCAATCATAAAAACAGAATCAGTGGATAGTGTTTCGGTTACTAGTGAACGCAATAGCACTGATCATGTTGTTGACATTGACAAGGATAGTAATAAAGATAATAAGGAGCCTGATCACACAACATTCACCACGATGACGCCACAGGAAATCGCTATGTGGATAGATCGCCGGTCACGTTTTCTATTTCCTGTTATGTTCCTAGCATTTAATGCTTTGTACTGGACGTTCGTCTATTGTTTCTAAGTCACGTTGGTTGTTTTAATTTGTTGCTTTAATTAGTTTTATTTTAATTAACATTTCATGAAATAATGTACATATACATACAAATCCTATTTAATTCTCTCATTTTTTGCACCTACATTTTTACCAAATCATGACGTTTATTTATCATTATAAAAAATTTATACTTTCTCGATTTATTTTACTTTTTATATTTTTACTCTTACATACATTGCTCTAATTTTATATAATATTTATATATATATATGTATGTTATTTTTTAATTAAAATTTAATTTAATAATGTGTATGAAAGTTATTCATTTATAAAATGAATTCTGTACGATTTAATAAATTTAATAGATATTTTTTGAAAAAAATAATTTGTTATTTCATTTGTAGAGAAATAATTTTGAAATATTTTTAAATAAGTATTTTTCGATGAAAACTTTTAACGATATATATATTTGTATATATAAAATTTTGTATACATATATAGTAATTGCAATTAATAGAAATAGAAAATATACGGGTTGCTGACTCGCAATAGAGCAAAGTCAACGCGACCAAGATTGATCGTTTCTACTGATCTAACCGATTCTAACTGAACAAAAGACATTCTGTTCTTCATATGAAAGTCAGAAGGTCAACTGTCGAAAACATCCTAACATCAGATGGAAATAGAATCAGGACCTAATAGTATCTCCTAGTTCACATCAAAACTGGAAAGTCACGGAGAATATTATTGGAGGCCTCATCAGCCAAACACTTCTGGATCAACAGGTCTTTAGTTTTGTGACCATCGGTATACCAAGAGTTCACTTTTGATTCTAAACCAATAGTGGAATTTTCCGTAAAGACTCTAATTGAATGCTAATTAAATTTATGAGAGTTTTTTATTGGTCATATTTTTTAATTAATTAATAATTTATGTATTTAAAAAATATCAACCATTAAATTTAAATGTTTGACGACAGCTGCACTTTTTTCTCAAAGCCACTATTTATTCTTTATAAAAAAGACAGGTAAAATTTGGTATGTGTTTTATACTCTTAAAATAAATAAAAGATATAGTGAATGTTAAATAAAAGTAAAATAAACTATAAATCTTACTATTGATATATATGTCAATCACGTTTCTTTTTGGACAAAAGGCGATACACCCACCATGTTTGTCACGCCACGTGTAATTTTTAGAATACTCTTTATAAACGGATCATTAGATGGATACATGCGACAAACCCGTTGTACGCGAAAAATCTTTCTTAAGTACAAATTCCTTTCAGAATATTTTATCTCAAGATTAAAGTTTTCAACTTCAAATTGTTTTCTTGCTTTTCTTAATGCTTTTTCCAAATGTCGAGGTTTCTCATGATTTATCTGTATCGCATTGACGTATGTAAGTGATTCGTTCGATTTCACCTTTGGTTCACCATATCCAATTTCAAGATTAAAACGTTCTTCCAATGGATAATAAATGCGTTGGAAATCTTTAAAGTTATTATCAAAGAATTGCTTAAACCAGATATAAAACTCTAAATTGGATGCATAATCGTGTTTAGTTACTTCCGAAAAGGGTATCTCTCTGAACTCTTGTCTTCTGTGTAAAGCCTCTTGTAGTATTAAGAAATTCTTAACAGCATCTGCTTTAAGATTAGTCAAGAATACTACTTTCCTCAAATCCATGAGATGCGGAAAGAAATAATGATACAACTGGCAATATGCTGCACCGGTACAAAGATCCTCAAGTTTTTTGAATTTCGATTCTAAGGCATTATTTATCCAAGAAAGATCTTCTTTGCGTGGACACTTGCGATCGTAATCGCCATGGTCTTCCTGAAACATTCTATTGTTAAGGGGTTGGACCACATAAATACCTAAATTTTGGATAGGCCAGAAATAATTATTTTTAATAAATTTTGAACGCAAAACTGACTTGTTTTCTTGTTTTAATTTAAAGTATTAGTTACAAAGTTTTTAGCTGTTACTAAGTTATTTTTATGGAAGCAAATAGATGTCAAATTCTTATTTAATTTAAGAATTTAATAAATTCTTTTTAACTTATGTTAATCAAATTAAAATTTAGTCGTTTCCATTGACATAAGTTGATTTATGCATGTGAAAGAGCTTTTATATTTAGAAAAGTTCTGTAAAAGGTAACATTTAAAAGTTACCAGATATTATTTAGTTTTTATTTTTAGCATAAATTAATTAATTGATTATGAGACCCAGAAAATGTAAAAAATTTTGAACATATTATTTATTTATAAAAAACAAAAATTTAAAAAAATTCTTACCTCTCATTTGTTTGATTTCTTGATTATTTGTTTATCTACATTTTATTTTATGTGTCAAATATGTCAAATTTCGATCATTTCCCTTTTCAGAAATATATTTTTGACGTAATTTCCTTTGATTTATTCTTAACTAAGTTAAAAAGCACAAAAGGTCTTTGTACGGTTAATCAAATTTCATTAGGGATCTTAATCAAATAAACTGCTTTAACAAAGGCAATGGGAACATACAATTAATCTCAAACTAACTTAATTCCGGCTTTAGAAAATTATTGCTGGTTTAATTCGTACTTAAGTCAGTTATGAGATTCAAATTACGACTATTCAATTGTCTCCGAATTAGTATAAACTGCTTATTATTTATTTTTATTGTATAATATTAATGCTTGCCAAAATAAATGTTTTATTTGTAGTAAACATATTATATTAATTTTACAATAAGAACTTAGGTCCAAAAATTGAATTAAGTATACCATAATTCAGCAAAGTTAATGCCTTCAGCATGAATTAAATTAACGTTGAGTGTGTTACTATTACTATGTCCAGACAACCAAATTTCCTTAATTTTGAAAAAATTAAGTTAATTTCGAAAGTGTTCATACTGCCCCAAATTAAGGAAATTATATGTGTTTTACTTCCAATTCGAATGTTAAAAATTACATGCTCCAAAAACCATTTGTATATGGGAAATTTTAAAAGTTAATTATTGTAACAATAAAGGATGGCATTCAGTAGTTTTATTAGCTTTAGTGGATTTCAGTTATGTGAATTATTATTTTCCACTCTATTTTAAATTAATAACAGTTATTGTTTTTGCTCTATATTCAAATTTAAAAATGTGCACTACTTTCAAAATATTATCTCGATTTCATTAGTCAACACATTTTTAAAAAAATGTCAGTGAAAAAACAACTTGATTTCGCTGAAATGAATATGAAATTAAGATTTTTGCGAAATTAGTGTGTCTGAACAAAGTATAATGTAATTTCAGCCATAAAACAATATCATTAATAAAATAAGAATTTAATTTTTTGCATTTTGATATTAATTATGTCATTTTTAAAATTATATAAAGGTTTACGTATTACGTATTACACATTTAGAAAAAAATTTTATAATCAATATTGTTTCAGTTAAAATTCAAAAAAAAATTTTTAAGTATTAATTTTCTTTAAAATTAATAAGTTTTAACAGAAAACCATTGTGCCACACTACAATTTATCTATTTGTGGAGGTAAAGAAACGAGCTGTCAAATTGTAGATAACCACAAACAGCCCCTGACGTTTTGGTGCTGCTGATTTAAGGCATAAATTTTCTTGTCTCCAATCAAGGTAAAAATGTGTTGTAATAATAAATCAAAAATAAAACTATTGAAAATGACAGCATATAAAATGCAAAAGTGCAAATCTAAAAATACATATTTTTGGCAAAAGTGCAGTGATTATTAGCATTGCGAATATAATTTTTGCCAGCAATAATCAAACATAAATTACATAATTAAGTGAAGAGAACGTTGTTCATCGCTCGACCATAGCAAAAATGTTCATTTTTACAATTTGTATTTTTATACAAATACTAGTTAATTTACTTGTTTGATGGCATCAGTAGTTAATTATTAATTATATTGCAGTAAGGAACGACAACACAGCACAAAAATGCGCCTAACCTCGATTTTGAATGGACAACATTTCGGTCAATTGGCCAAGTTAAACGGCATTGTCACCTACAAGATTTCACCATTCGAGCAACGCGCCTTTGCCGGTGCCATTAGTAAAGGAGTACCAAACATGGTCCGTCGTTTCCGCTCCAATGTATTCATTGTAACTCCACGTAAGTAAACTACTTTTAATATATAAAAGACAACAGAATTCTTATTTGATTATTTCTATTAACAGCTCTCCTGGCTGCTTACCTTATCTATGACATGGCTGAACGGGAGCACAAACGCTTATTACGCAAGAACCCTGCAGAATTCGCCGACGATGAATAGAATTAGTTTCCACTTAAATTGCAATTAAACTTAATTAGTAAAATTCTTTAAATAAATAGAATTTAATAATTTGATAACAGTAATTTTACTTACATATATATTATAACAAAGAGGAATATCTATGAGTTTGTTAAATTATAATTTTTGGTATTGGTTATATTAAACAATAATAATTTTGTCAGTGTTTAGATACAATTTTCTTTATAAAAAATATTTTGGATTATTCGAAGATTTGAAAATCTTCGCAAATTATATACAGATCATTTAAATTAAAGATAAATTAGTTGTCTTTTTATTAAAAGAAGTAAACGTATATACCATAAATAGTAATATGCAGATCTGAGGTCAGTTATTGCATAGTCAGATGAAGTGATAAACAATAATCCAGTCAAGATGTAGAGAGGGGTTATGTAGAAACCTTGCAGTTAATTGAGAGTAAAAGTCTCTAGTGCACTGACTCAACTAGCCTCAACCTAATAAATTCCACTTATCGAACAGAGAGTTCGAGAGTTATAGACCCTCTGCTCTATTATTTTTATTTCCAAAAGTACAAAAATGCAATTACAGATAGCACAAAACATGACTTTAAGAAGACTATTTAAGTTTCCATGGTATATTAGAACAACAGACATGCACAGAGATCTAAGGGTCGACTCAGTGAATGAACATATCAGGGACAGAGTCCTAAAATTATTTAGAAAAGTTAATACGCTGCTCAACTCCGCCCTAACAAACTTCAAGTCCATCGTAGGACCCGCAGGAAGATATGCAGTCTTACGGTCCGTCATCTGTTAAACGATAAATGAACGATACGAATTCCAGTATAGTTAAAGCTTAATAAGAGGACTTGTGGGTTTTCATGTGACAACTTGGTACCAGTTCTGAACTCTTTAAAGTTCAATTTACGTAATTAATTATTAATAATCTTATCCAATATAAAATAACTTCATTTATTTACTTTTATTAGAGTTATTACTTTTTTCTAGTTACTTGATGTCTTATTTAAACAAGCCACTGTTAGAATAGAAAAGTAGTTTTGTTTATAAATTTAAAATTCGATTTTAATTTTATTAATTTATAATATAGTTACACTTATAAAATGAAGAGAGTTAATTGCTTCATAATATTGGTCTGAAATGGCATAATATGATTTTCAGTCATATTGTTGAGATTGTTTGTATTGAGAAGATTACACAAATATGTCTTATATATCAAGTTAAGTAATGTTTTCAATCATTGTATTTATGAATCTTATATTTATACAACCTCTTTAGTATAGTTATATATGTATTTTGTATGAAAAAGAGTACATATTGGATCCATTTTGATGTTAAGTTCAATAGTCTAAACATAAGATTCCGCTATTTAAAGTTAATAACTAATTTATCAATATATACTGATCACTACATAATTACAGGAAATAAATATTATTTATAACAAATTTATAACTTTAATATATAATGACGATAATGTGAATCACTTATATATATACTAAAGAATTGTTATTAATAAAAATATTTAAAAGCACCCTATTTACGACATAAACAGAAACGTAAGTGAACACAACGTAATGGAACATATGTATCAGCTGTTGCGTCCATACATTGTGAAATACTTCGCTGATTAAAATTAAATAATAAGTAACAAGCAACAACAAGAAAGAAGAAGGCACCTGCATAAAACAAACGTAACTTGTGATTATTTATATTAGAAATAAATTGAATGTACTTAAATTAGAAGAAAAATATTTTCGTATAATTGCAACAAGTGATGAACGATTGCTGCAACGCTGAGATGCATGGTCAGGCATTTCACAGCATGTTAGAAACAATTGTTGATTCGAAAATTATATCAATTGAAGTATTTACGGCAGCGATTGGTATTTTGTTTGTGGTGGTGCTGCTTAAAAACAAATTCAGAAGTTTCTGCGGAACCTGAACTAAATATGTATACATTTGATTATTTAGTTTTAATAAATATCATAATCTAAAAATTGGTATTTGCATTTTTTTTGTTATTATTTTCAAGGCAATATTTTCCATTGTCTATACAGTGAAACAGTGAGAACGGAACAAATAACGTCATCGTTGCAGCGCGTAAATGTAAAATTTCAAAAACAAAAATTGAAAAGCATTAATTTCAACTCAAGCAAAAGGAACCTATTATGACAAATATTACGCTATATTTTGAAATTCACTTTTGCCATGAGTAATGCCGAAATCTTGGCTGTTGATTGTTATGTTATGATAATAAATGTGGCAGTGATTTTAATGATAATTAAAGCTTCTTTAACAGTCTGAAATTAGTCATCATAATCAGTGTATTAAACTATTTCAATATCAGTGGAATATATAGAATCTAATAAAGGCATGTACAATATTGAGTGGTTTCAGAAACAGTTTAGTCATAAAGGAATAGTTGGAACCACTCGTTTCTATAGCCAAGTATTCGTCTTTGCCATCATGGACAGGAAATGCATATGCTTATGGGTTAATCAGCCAATAAATCTAAGTTTGTCGTAACTTATTGGATTAAAAAAATTGTGTCGCATACAATTGGAGTAAACATAAGTCCAATCACTATTTCACCAAATATTTAAATATATATTTTGAAATATTAAACAAAATATCATTCCTTGGAATTATTTAAAGGCTACAAACACGATTTGAAAAATAGTATATAAAAATATCGTATAAGTGAAATTTCTAACATAATTTGTTGTATTATATTTAATAATATTTTTATTTTAGTTATCACTTAGTCAATTGTAGATTTTAAAGGTAAATCTTCTTTGAAACCATTTTCAATAATGGATAACGATTCGTTAGAGACTGTTACTTATGCTTATCATTAATAACCTCTGACTTTAGTTGAGAGCACAGTTTTTGATAAAAACCAACTGCAATGAATAGATTTTTGAGAGGAAAGTATGGAAAGTCCCAACTTGCTTCTAATATCCACGCCAATTTTGGGATACGATCTCATTTTATCGATTTTTGTATGTAATTAAATAAATAAATAAATAAATTAAATAAATACTTTGTATATAATACACTCTGGGCAGTACGCATATCTTAGATCAGTCATAGAATAATCATGTAGCTTATAAGGACTACACTAATTAATCAGTGAGATGAATAGTACTTTGCAGAAACCCCTCAGACATCAAAGAGTAAAAGTGCCCAGATGAACTAACTTAGAAAAGACGCAACTAAGATATAATACATTTGTAATATTATTAACATATATATATATTTATATAATATATATATTAATATTATATTATATTCATACGTACTTACTTACTGTTGTCCTTCTCTTCTAAGTGAAGTACAGGGCCTGTATGTAGTATTACTTTAAATGATGAAATGGTTAAGTACTTTTAATCGTTTTGAACTTTTGACCCAATTCGTTAGGATGGTTTACTAGGAAATCATTGCTTTGATTATAACTGAAAAAATTATATATATAAAGATACAAACATTTATATTTATATATAAAAGGGTAACAGCTATTGGGACTGCACGTCAATTGATTTTCCTTACGACAATTAATTAATTTGCGGAATCAATTGACTATTTCCATAAAAATCACTTCTATAAATTTTAGAATTGGCTTTTCTTGGAAATAGTTCGAAAAAATAAAAATCATGGATGAGATATTTTTTATCTCAATCAAAAACTTTAATTAAATACTTTCTATTTATATTTCTGTAAATAAAAGAATTTTAACAATCAACATATTTTAATATTAAAAATTAAAACTCTTTAATACTAATTTTCATGCCTGTAACCCGTAGGGTTAGCTTTTTCTTAAGCAGTTTACTTTGATGAGCGAACGTTGGCAATCTTATAAAAGTTGGGAGTCCCACTCCCAAAGTTGAGGTTGTTGATGACAATCACTTGACAGCTGTTGGAACCTTCTAAAATTGGTTTTATTTTTTAATTCATATTTTAATAATAAATCGCGGGCATCATTACCTTTCATGGGAAGTAATATTTTAACAGTATTTTTGAGCGTCAATAAGTAATAGATTACAATCAATACTGGCAGGTATACTGCGCCGATCTTCAAAACATATCAAATTTGTCTTATTTCTCAGCTTATAATTCGATAACAAATAGTTTTATCTTTTCTGCAAGTCTCGCTTTGCATTGAATCGTTGGAAACTGCAGAAGTTGTGAATGTCACTTGGTCATCGTTGACAATTGGTTCCGTCACATATATTCGGCTGCTCCAAAAGGCAAAATTCCAAAAATTGGTTATATTTTTTAGCGTAGATTTTGACGACAAATCGTGTGCAGTTCTCCGTTTTCGTTTAAGTATTATTATTAGTATTGCAATCAGCGGAAATCCACCAAAGGTTATGAGTTTCACTAAGATTATCGATGACAATTTTGCTACAGTTATACTCCTGCTTCTGAAGTATCTTAATCATCTTTTTCAGCTTATAAATCAGTTATTAATCATAGGTAATTTCTATTTCAATGACAAGTATAGTCTTGCTTTGCGACTGGTGGGAACTCACTAGAGGTTGTGAGTATCACTTGGTTGTTGGTGATAATTTTTTCCGGTACATATACTTGACGGCTCCTTAAATAATATAAAATTGATTATATGATTAAACAATGTTATATTCAAATGTACTTCCTTATTTCCTAAGAAGTATATTGCTTTCGTACAACTAATAAGGACGTGGCAGGAGTTTCGAGTGTTAATTAATCGTAGTTGAGAATTAACTCTACCATATATAACTGACGACTTCTAGAAGCTTTTAATAGATCACATTTTTCAGTTTATAAATCGAGAGTATATCTAAATCCGTTTCAGTTCAATCATAAAACTGAATTAAATTTTTGATATATAATCTATGGAAATATTTTATACTATTTCTGATATTACGGAATAACCATTGGCACGTGCTTTTCGCTAAATATTTTCTTATAAACGTACATGAAAGCTATTTGAGATTCGATAAATTTTGTTGATGAATTGCTTAAATTTTTTAATTTCTTGGATGAATTTTAATATCGTTTTCATTAAATTTATAGAAATTGTTTTAAAATTTATGAACATCGATTGCGAAAATATTTCTTACTTGCAAATTATATATAACGACATTTTTTTTTAATCTCTTCATATTTATATTTTTGAGTAATGAGCAAGACCCAATATATAAACTCAACGAAAAGGTCAGGTTTCGTATAGTTTCTTGTTCACTTCTCCATTGGATAATATAGTAGAATTTATATAAATGATCCAATTGAATCAGAAGTCCTAAGGAGCACTCATTTTGATTTTGACTCTATTTTCATCTTGGATGTGTTAATGTTGTAAAATACTTGGCGTTCTCATCAGTTCCAGTAGGCAGTATACAAGGGAATAAAAGTATATAAACTGAAATATAAACAATATAGGATGCAGTTAAAGATACAGAGTTCAAATATTATTTAAAAATTGGTATGCAAACACAAAAAGATCATCCAATAACCTATATTCACACTCACATCAATAAAATGGAGTTATAGTACAAAAACTGTGGATGAAGAATCAGGATAATCTAATTCTGATCTATCTAGTGCATTAAGAGTTAGACGAATCTAATTCTGATTTAAAAATCTTCTATCTAGTGTATTAATGTATCAGTGTATCTATCTAAACTATATAGTGGTTTATATATATAGTGATTTTTCTATCAGAAAAATCTAATTTTGATTAAGATTTCTGATTTAGAAATCTTCTTAGTACAGCGAGATTGAGTGAAAGATATTAAGTATAGAACGGGAGAGATAAAAACCTGAGCTATATTCACACCCATAAATTGTCAGGACAATAATATTGAGTCATAATATATAATGTATTGATGATATTGAAATCTGGTACCAAATAATTGATATGGATAAAACTTGGTTCACAAATCATTGTTCTACAATAACATGAAAGGTATTCAGTGCAAATATTCCTTAGAAATAAGTAAAGAAATATAAAGTAGTGAAGTAAAGAATTGAAGGGATATAAAATTAACTCACATTCACACTTATAAACTATATCACCTCCATAGTATGGAGTCATATTATACAACCTATTGGAACTACTGAGATGTGGCTTTATCTAGTGAATTTGGAGTAGACAACGAATCAGGAGAAATGTCACCTCCATGAGATGAAATCAAAATATAAACAACTATATAATATCAGAAAATGTGGGAAATGTTTGGAAGTAATTGATAACTGTTATTCATATGGCTTCATACTTATTTTGTCAATAAGTTAGAATACTTTTAGCTGCTCCTCGCAGTTGAGTTTCTTCTTGCGAATTATTAGGGGTGGACATTTGTTCAAGATCTCATTTTTACTAAACTGATGTCTCACGATCTAATATATTACATTCATTATTTAAATGGATTTGTTAAAGACTACATTGATCTATATTGTTATAGTTCTTTCATTGTAAAATGTTAGTTGACAAAAATTTAATAATTGCGTGTGTAAATGGATAACCAAGAAAGGTCAAAGTTTTGATTGGCATTACCTGGAAATTGGTTAGTATCTACTACGTTTATGGTAGTGGTATTGTTTGTTATATAAAAAGAATTGATATGATTCATGGTGTATAATAAATATGAATGAATGAATGAATGAATAATGAAAATAATGATAAAATATGAATGAAGATCAGTTGAACTATGCATCCAAGAATACCCTTATCTTGTTATTATTTACATAAGCAGTTATAATTATATATATATATATATATATGTCAGTTATTTTAAAGTATTATGTTGTAGGGAAGTGGGCTGGTTTCTTCTGAATTCAATTTCTGCGAAAACGCATATATCATTGAACTTGAATAAATTTAATTAATAAATGCTTAATCACTGAACAAAATATTAATGAAATAAAAATAAACAAAAGTAAAAAAAAAGTTAAATAATTCTCGAAAAATGTGATCGTAAACAAATTTCTTCTTTGTTTTTGGACTGGAATTCTCATTCGACTTATGAGTGATCAATAAAAAATTAAATTGTAAAACATTCAGAATAACGTGTAAATAAGCAATTTTCAACCAAATATACATAATCTATACATATTTATAGAGAACACAGACATTCAATAAAAAACAGTATTATTTTTAGATACTGAATTCAAGTAACAACATCCGTCCGAATTTCATTTTATGAATTTACAATTAATTTTTTTCTTTTTTTTGTTCCAGAACAAATTTTTACACATTTTTTTCATTCCTTTTATAGAGTTTAATTTATATAAAATTTTTTTTTTTTACTATTTTAATTTATTTTTAACAATTTCCATAGTGACTTATTTTAACTAAAAGTTCTTTGTTATTAATAAATCAAATTACAATTAACATTTCCACATAATTGCTCAGTAGTCATACAAATTAAACGCTCAAGTAATAAAGACCGATCAGGCGTCCAACACGAGACCCTCAAGCTAATCCAACCATGAGTGTAAGAATTTTATGTGCAATATTGAAAGCAGAACACACAATCGGGATTCATGGAGTGTAATCATTTGTTCAAAGTTCTTAATGAGTAGATATATTCAGTGTTTACAACTGATTGACTGACTGACTCATTACTGATCACTTGATATTTCTTGGTTCCGAAAATGAATGAATAATAAAAACCTAATTCTTAAAAATAATATATTAAAAATTATTTAATATAGTAATATGAATTAATTTCTATATATTGATTTTTAAAAATTATCCATAATAAAAGGTTATCCATATCATGGTCCCAATTTGGTATAAGTATTTCAGTGTCATAAAAAGTTTCATACGTTTACTTAAAGTCTTACTTTTTACAATATGGTTCGTTTAACAATCGCTGAACATATTTTTAATGTCAAAGTGCAATTAGAAAAACTGTGTTTAAATAAAATTTCATAGTATGCAAATCTCTATATGGACTTAGCAATGTCTTGCCTTCAGACTTTGTTGAATATATTTTGACTTTAATTTATAACGAAGTGATTATATATATCATATCAAATCTCACTCAGTTGATAAAATTTTTTGTGCTTATTTTCTGACAATCGCAGAGCGCGGTTAAATTAGATAGATGTCCATTATTCCCGTCTTTAAAAGGTGTTAGTTAGCATAAGCAGGTCCAGTTCAAAAACTAGTAATTAATTTAAGTTTATACATATTCTTAATTAAGTATTCAGTATTCTTAATTTAATAATCTTTTGGGTATTGACTTGACTAAGCAGTCAGGTATTTGAATATGGCTTAAATGTTCTTCAAAAAGAGGGTAGACGTTCCTACGAAGTTGTTCTTAAAGGCCAAATCTAGAAAAATAATATATATTGCAGGCAGGAACGAACTAAGTAAGTAAGTAATGAAAAATTAATTTTTCTGTTGAAATCAAATTTTCTTTGTTAGCAGTCAGTCCTTTTTGAGTCAGTTGGTTAATGAACACTAACTCTGAGCTTCAAGTTTGATAGGGTACGAGTTCAAACCTTGAAACTAATTATTATTATTATTACTAATTGTATTATTGTGCCCCTTCTGGGTTTAGAGAAGCTCTCTAAGCCCTGTTACGCCAATAAAAAGTAGTATAGAACCTACGTTACAGAGCTGTATTGCCTATTCCGTATTTGCATTAGCGCAGGACATACTAACTTCTCCTCATTCTCTTCCCAGAATCTACAGTTTGCATCCGGAAGTATACACAGTCTTGAAAGGTGGTGTGTTAGTTAGTCCTGTTAGAATTCCAGTGATTATTTTTTTCTTTTTTTGATATTCTTAATACTTTCAATCACAAAAAATTTTTTACGAATAAATAAATATAAGAAATAATACCAAACCCCTGATGAAGGGTTTTTGACAATTCTCGAAACAGCTGTATGGTCAGCCAAAAAATCAATTAATTAAAAATAATAATAAAATTTTTGTTGTTGCAATTCACTACTGTTCGATAAAAACCTTTATTGAAAACAATACTTTATATTAAGAATTTAGTTTCTTTCGTCAAAACGGAGGTTGTAAATCAATTCTTAGCAGTTATGCAAATAATATTTCCACAAAGAATTTCTTTTAAAATTTATTAGATGTTCTTCTAAATGTGAATAAATGTTAAACTACATAAATATGATCATACATTCATCATTTTATCATCAATTTTCAGGTTTTATTTCATGTTTTTCGAATACGACATGACATTTGGGAACCAGGGGTAAATCGCTAGTTCAATCCATTTTAATTCCCTAGTTATTAGATTATTACATTGAAACCATATAATGTTTTTTATTAAATACTCATATTACATTCATTTTACAATATTTAATTTAACGCTTTTGTCTTATAATTTCCTTTATTTTTCAGTATGACTTACACCCAATAACTCGTAAATATATATTTATCTGCAAAATTATGTATTATGTTATGCTTTCGATAAAAAAAACCCTTCAGTAATCGATTTGACTGAGTGTTCTTGATGGAAAGTATCAGTGTCTGTATAAAGACTGTCATTAGCATATCATAAAACAGAATTTTTACGACCCAAAATACTGCAGGCAATTATCCAGTATGTAAGCGTTACTTAAACTGTAATAAAATAATATGACTCTTGAGTTCGGTGTAGGGTGCTAAATATCAATTACTTTTGTCGTACTTCTTATGTCCGCAATAATTTAAGCACCCATCCACTTAAAAAGCCCACTTCTTTACTTGTTTCAATCATAATTCCTATAATTTAAAATCAATAAAAAGCAAAGTTTATGCATTTTTAACAAAAAAGTAACTGCATTTTATTTTATACTCGTATTATAAACATTTTCCTTTTTTTTTAGGAACCTAATA